GGACAGGAGACCCCCGGTGGACCTGCAGATCATCATGTCTGTAATTATCTGTTGTCAACTTCAGTCTGACTCCTAATGAAGTGAAAATTAAATGCAATTAATTTAAAATAATTTATATTAATTTTTTACACTTTTAGTAAAATAATAATTTTAATTTTGTTTTGTTTAATTTTCTTTCTGTCCTTTATTCATGTCTTTTAAATTTTTTGCATCCATGAGGACAAAAATTTAAACAGTTAATATTTTTATATTAAAAAGTCAGTTTTGTTGGAGCTGAACGACAAACTGAACATTTTACTGTTTTTTCCTCTTGAACCTGAAACACCTGATGCTCACAGATCTGATGTTTTAAACACAAAGTTTGGACACCAGCTGGTTCAGAAATGTTCAGAAGAAGACGTCCTGACTCTGCAGCAACGCTCCCACTGGTTCTGCTGTGGGTTTTCCACCTGCTCTGGGCTCTGACATCAGAGTCTGATAAAAACCTAAAAACAAAGTGAGTGGGTTCAAACTGCTGATGACGTCACCAGGGATTTTACCCAAATCACTTTTTCCAACATCAACAAACACTGACAGAAAAAATAAATGTAATGAAAGAATGTGGTTCCGGTTCTCCGTCTGAACAAACAAACAAACAAACAAACAAACAAACAAACAAACAAACAAACAAACAAACAAACAAACAAACAAACAAACAAACACTGCACGTGTCTTCCTCACCTTTTAATGAGTCTCAAACACAACATGACAGCTGAGCGTATTTACAGCTTGTTGTTTTAAACACACAGTTAGTGAGGTGTAGAAAAATAAAGCTTTAACAGATTTACATTAAATAAATCCTTCTTGGTCCAAACGACACAACAAGGTGCTGAAAACAAACAGGTTAAAACAAACAACTTCGTCAGTCAAAACTTTTATTTGTATTTCTTTAAACGTTATTTCTGATCAGGAATGTTTTATTAGAAATGAGATGAACGGATGTGTTTATTCCAGGAGCCAAAGCGCGTTCATGAGTTCTGGACGTGCGTCATGACGCACGGCTGCACAAAGGTTCTGGTCCGTGTTTGAGCCCGCAGCGTTCAGGTCCACAACAGTTCCCGGACCTGTGGACTCGGCTGCGCGACTCGCTGCTGACTCCGGACCTAGGAGCAGATCCCGGAGCCGGGCGGCCGCTCCAGCGCGGAGGAGCTGCCGGAGGAGGACGCCGAGGACACGGTGGAGGACTTCCGGTCCTTCTGCCTCAGGTGGATCTTAGTGTGTCGCTTCCGCTCGTCGCTGCGCGCGAACTTGCGGCCGCAGAAGTCGCAGGCGAACGGCTTCTCGCCCGTGTGCGTGCGGATGTGCGTGGTGAGGTGGTCGCTGCGGCTGAAGTTGCGCATGCAGATGCGGCACTGGAAGGGCTTGTGTCCGGTGTGGATGCGGATGTGTCGCGTGAGTTCGTCGGAGCGGGAGAACCTCCGGTCGCAGCCCTCGGCCGGACACGGGTACGGCCGCTCGTGGATGGGCGTTTTGCTGGGCCGGTTCGGGTACTTCCTCGGCCGCAGGATGGGCCTCAGGGGCAGGTTCTGCGGGCTGTAGGCTGAGGGGAGCCTCGGCTGCCCTGCCTCGGAGCCGCCGCCGCTGCCCGGACCCCCCAGCGTAAAGTTTCTGATAGTGTTCAGCGGGGTCAGAGGTGGGGGGACCCGGAACGTGTCCAGCGGGCACGGGACGAACGGCTTCCGGTCTTGGATGGCCGCCGTGTGCACGTCCCGCTGGCAGGCCGGCTGGAAGAAGCCCGAGTAGTCGGGGATGATGGGGAAGAGCCCCGGGGGGTCGGAACTGGGCTGCTTGGGGGAGGAGTAGGAGGGAGGCGGGTAGGAGGAGGGGGACAGGAACGCCGAGGGGTCCTGATACACCTCCCCGCAGCCGGAGGAGGAGTAGGGAGGCGGGGGGGAGTACAGGTGGTGGTGCTGGTGGTGGTGGTGGTCCATGTCTGCCTGGCTCTGCGCCGCCATGGTGCAGCTCAGACCTCCACTGGAGAAGTGATGAGGAGACCCGGATGAAGCCGGGGAGGAGGACGCTGAGGAGGAGGGAGGAGGAGGAGGAGGAGGAGGAGGTGGTTGGGCCACGTTAAAGATGCCTGAGACGATGTTGATGACCCCCTCGGGGTTCCAGTTCCCGGGATACTGGGAGTCGATGGAGAACTTCCCCATGTAGGTGAAGGTCTGGTTCCGATGGGAGGCGGGCTGGGAGAAGCCGCTGGAGTAGGAGGAGAGGTCCAGTGATCGTTTCTCTGCGCTCAGGTCGGCTCCCATCACGTCTGAGGAGCAAAACACAGCGAGTCAGCAAGTAGTCTGACCCCTGAAGACATCCTGCACCCACAGCTCCCACAGAACCCTCACCATCACAACCAGTTCCTCCTTTCAGGTCTACAACCTCAACCATCACAACCAGTTCCTCCTTTCAGCTCTACGACCTCAACCATCACAACCAGTTCCTCCTTTCAGGTCTACAACCATCACAACCAGTTCCTCCTTTCAGGTCTACAACCTCAACATCACAACCAGTTCCTCCTTTCAGGTCTACAACCATCACAACCAGTTCCTCCTTTCAGGTCTACAACCATCACAACCAGTTCCTCCTTTCAGCTCTACGACCTCAACCATCACAACCAGTTCCTCCTGCTGTGTTTCAGCTACAACCTGTTTTAAGTTCAGTCAGTTTTCCTGAAACAACAAAGGTCACTGACTGCAGCTG